TATAGAAAGTGCAACTTGGACACCCGAGAAAACAAATAAAGATGAATTATAAGTTTAATTATTGAAAATAATACTGATCAAACATTAATGTTCAGATTAAATTTCAGATTTCTGTATGTTGTTTTCAAAGTGGTAAAGACATTTTAGTCTGATCATAATAGCATTAAAAAAAAAAAAAAAAAAAAAAAAATTGCTTGATTTTGTACTTGAATTTTGTTTTTAAATCATTTTATTATTCTTTTCTAATCTTAAATAAATTGGCTATTCTTCATCTAAAATTAGCTGAAATTATAACTACTGGAATTAAGCAATATAAACATCTATGTTTATTTAGCTGTTCGCAAACAAATATACTTCCTCATTATAGGTAATATGGAAATTGGAGACATTCAATCTTTTTATATTGTCATAAGCTTTAATTTTCATAGCTTTAATTTTCTTAATGTTTTTGAAGCTTTATTATATTAATTTTATATCATTTTTTTTGCTGTGGTGCTATTGATGATCTAGTTATGGAATCATTGCTTTATTTTTGAATGCTGCCTGTTGTTTTCTTTTCTATATTGATTGCCTTACAACAATTGCCATAAACATTTATTCATTTCAAAAATTAATGATAAAATTTTGATAAATTTTATTGTGATTTCTCTTCTACAACCTAAAATCTGCTATGATTACTGTTATACGATTCTTAATTATAATAGATTATACATAGCATTATTATTGTTTCTTGTTTGTTGAGGTTGTATGAGAAAGCAATCGTAAAGTGAAATATTGATTGCAGATTTCTAGAAGAGAACTAATTCTGTGTTTGCTAGTAGCACAAGAAAAATGTTTGTTAATATTTTTTATTTTGATCGTATCAAACATTAAAATTCACAACGCTGGAGTTTCTGCGTAATTCCAATTTGCGGTTTTACTGGCAAGGTTTGTTTGTTTGTTTGTTTGTTTGTTTGTTTGTTTTTTATTAAATTCTTTCTGAAATTTAAAAATTTTTTTATTTTGTTTAATCTCGAATGAAATTTTAGGGTTAAGCAGAATGGGTTGCATTTGCGGAAAGCCTGATCTTGAAATTGGAGTGCAACAGTATCGGATACTAAAACCTTTTGCTAAAGGGTAAATTTTTGATCTAAATGTTTTAAAATGAAAATAGAAGATTTGTGTAGAAAAGATTTAATTTAGATTAATAGATATGATGTTGAATATTTTACAACTCATTCAACGAGTAAATAGTAGTAAAATCTTTTAAATAAAAGTAAGGTTAAAGTTTTTTTTTTTTTTTCGATTTATTTGCGTAAAAGACCAAAACGATGTCAAATATTTGAATGGAATACCTTTGCAGAGGATTCAGTCAGTTATTTCTGGTGGAAGAATATAAAACTGGTCATAAATGGGCTTTAAAACGAATTGATTGTCATTCAAAAACGGACATTGAACGTGTACGGAATGAAATTGATGTACAACAACGATTCGGAATGCATCCGAACATTTTAACACTTAAATGTTTTACAGATGACGAAATTCCGCATGGCATTCGATTTTCACTTATCTTCACTTTTTACAAAGTTTGATGATAAATTTTTGTTATATCGCCAAAATGAAGAGTAATTTTTGACTTTGGTATAAATATTTTTCCGGACTATAAGAAAACCTAGAAAATCCAAAAAATGTCAGTGAAAATCTTGTGTAATTTAAACAAAGAGTAGCTAATTCATATTTCCAACTGATACTCATTATCATATCAAATTTCATTTTATCTGCTGACCTTTCTGATTTTGACTGACATTTTTTGGATTTTCTAGGTTTTCTTGTAGATTTTCTTATAAAATATTTATCTAAAGTAGAAAATACTGGTCATTTTAGAGATATAAATGGAAGCTTTCATTTCACTAATTTTTTTTTTTTTATTTAATCTTAAATACTAACTATTTTTGAGTGCATTTTAAAGTTTATAATATGTCTGCATATCATTTCAGCGTGGTAGTCTTCAACATGAGCTTACAAATCGTCGTCAATGCTGTGATTATATTACCGAAGAACGGGTGATACGTCTGTTTCTACAAATTATTTCTGCTGTTAAATTAATGCACTCATCTTCACCACCCATTGCTCATAGGTTAGGTTTTTTTTTTTTTTTTTCATTTATTTTTCTATTTTTTTTTTTTTTTACATATATTTTGATATTCTTGGATAACTTATGCAATTTTAATTTCATTCTAATGGGGGGCAAGAAATTGTATAATGATTTATATAGTATTTCTGCAAATGTTTTTGTTTTTGGTATCATTTTGAAGCATTATTCAAGAAAGAATTTGTGAATGCATCTGTAATTTTTCCATACTTAATTTTGAAAATTTCCTTTTTAAACTTTCGTAAAAAAATATGCTTTTTAGAGATATTAAACCAGCTAATGTGTTGTTGTCAGACGATGATCGTCCGATACTTATGGATTTTGGTAGTTGTTTCTCGTGTCCAATAATAATTAATGATGGAAAAGATTCAAGAATGCAATTGGCTAGTTTCTCTTATCCTTTTGTACTATTGTTAATCATTTAAGATCACTTTTTTTTTTTGCAGTGATTTATATTTTGATGCTATGAATTTACTTTGTCTATCGAATGCTACAGCATTTGATTCAACAAAATTATTTCTTTCTTTACCGAATGTTTGTAAAGTTTTATTATTTTAGGATGAAGCTGGTGAATTATGTTCAATGCCCTATCGAGCTCCAGAACTTTTTGTTTGTGAAGTTGGTTCAATAATCGATCAGTCTGTAGATATTTGGGTTTGTGTTATTTATAGCAACAACTTTTTAATTTTAGTTAAATTTGAACTTTTAAAATATAATTCTTAATCGATAGGCCAAAAAAAAAAAAAAAAAAAAAAGAAAAGAAAAAGTAAATTTCAGTCACTTGGTTGTCTTTTATTTGCCTTATGCTTCTTCCGTTCACCATTTGATGATATCTATGAACGTGGTGATAGCATTGCACTTGCTGTTCAATCAGGAAAAATTACTTACATTGAAAATCATCCGTAAGTTCAGTTTATATTTTTCAGAACAGAAAATTAAATTTTTTTTTGAAATTTTTGAATTTCCTACGAATGGTATATAAGTAAGAGGTCTGTATTATCTCTTACTCTTACTCTATCAAAATTTAAAGTTTCATTTCTTTTCAGATATAGTCAAAAAATCTTAGATGCAATTCATGCAATGATAGCAGTTGATCCAAAAGATCGATCAAGTATTGCATCTATTTGTGAGCTGTTGGAAGGATTTTAGTTTTATAAGAGAAGGGTAATATATTTAAAAAAAAAAAATTGTGATAATTTCAGCATTTCCTGTTCATATATATTTTTGATGTGTTAAAAAAGCATTATGTTATGTGTATCAAACAACGCTTTTCATAAGATTTTATAAGCACTTTAATTTAATTTAACGTTTAATTCATCCCAATAGCGCCAGTTCATGTGAAAAGTATTGATATGCGTTTATTTTAAGATTTAATCGTAATTGTACTCTCATTGATACATTTTTATTCATTTGTCTCACATTATAGAGTCAAAAAGTTAAGAGTTATTTTTAGAAACTTTTTTGATCTTTCTATCATTTATAATCCTTTAAATTGTATAATTTGACTCTAAAGAATACATTCGAAATATCATTACAATTGCATAAGCTTCTAAATTTTTTGTGATGTTTGCATGAAATTTTAAACATCTATAAATTGTGTACATTAATTTATACATATATTTGTATTCCTGTGTCTCTATCTATTTTTCTATTTATTTATATGAGAACTAATGTAAAATAAAAATGGAACATGAAATAAGCAATGTCGTATTTTATTAAAATTGTCATTTTAAATAATGCAATAAGCTGAGATAGTTTTTGCAGTTGTGATGTTATGTTTCTGAAGTAACACCTAAAAATGAAAAGTAAAATGAAAATCGAAAACTAAAAATGTGAGTAATAACATTGAATTGAATTAATTAATGCTTTAATAAATGTTTAAAAGAAATGAAAATGATTATTTCTTGTTTATATTATATTAATTCAAAATTACAAAATCTTTCCATAATTAACAAAGCAATCAATTTATAACAATTCAAAGGCATTTAGATTGAAATCAAAATATATTATTAAATGAGAAATGTTAAGTAACATTTTTTATTGCTTTTATTCTTTGATGGAATTTTCCAGTGATTTTTTTTTTTTTTTTTGGTGATCAATTAATTATAACTCTTATGTACGATATAATAATACAATGGCTAGAAAAGTATTAAAATCATACGGATGATGAGTGAAAATACTGAATGAAAAAAATTTGATATCGATTTAGTGAAATTATTGATTGATCAAAATTTAGTTATTTTTCATACTTCCATTAGATCACTGATGGGAATTTTCACTAATTTATTTCAACTAAAAAATAACATATAATCATTATCATTGATAATAATGAGAACTTTTTTCTTGATCTGCAAAATTTAAATTTTGAATTCAACACTAAATGTATCTTTGAAAGAAATATTTTAATACAATATTCAATACCAATGACAAATTTCATTAATGAAATTATCAGAAGAAGGAAAAAATTTGGGCTAAAAATTTTGAAGAAAGAATTTATAAGTAATGCATTTCATTTATTCATTATTCTATTAAAATGAGAAAGACATTATTAAGCTATTTTACAAATAAATGCTTATATAATTCGAAATATTATATAACAAAGTACTCAATTAATTCATTATTACTAAATAATAAAATCATGAAATGATTTGAATGTGAATTTTGTAAATATTAACAACGTTGCATTAGATTATTTTAAAATTTAACTTTATTTTATGATTTGAAATAATTTTTGTTAGGTATATCTGATCACATTATCTGATAAAATCACCTATATAAGCCCGCAAATCATTAATGAATGTAAAAAAAAAAAAAAAATATATGAAATTTTCATAGCAAATTTAGCTAACAAACAGATCAATTGAAATAATTATGCAATTGTGATAAAATACAAAATTATCAATGTTATTGCTGTTAATGATAAATTCAATTGATAATTGCAAGCTGCACCACCACCTTCTGCAAAAAAAAAAAAATTAATGAAGAAAAAGAATATTAAAAATTAGTAATTAATTTTCTTAATATAAATTTTTTTTCAAAATTTTTATTCTCTCAAATATCTTTTAAATAATTCATAACACATTTTTATAATTCAACTGATTAATTCATTCATCTATTATTATTTAAATTACAATAAAAAAAAAAAAAAAAGAGAAATATTTGCTTGTTAAAATTTTTGTGATAAATAAAAAAGAGAAATTTAATTTATTATTCACTAATAATAATAATTAATAATAAAATATCTAAATAAAAATATAAAAAAAAAAATAATTCATAATACATTTTTTATAATATAACTGATTAATTAATTCGTCTAAAATTTTTGTAATAAAAAAGAAAAAAAGAATTTTAATTTATTTTTCATCAATAATAATAATAATAAAATATTTAAGCAATATCGTTTCTTTCTTTCTTTTTTTTTAAACCATTTGTAATATTTGTTAAATTATAATTTTAAGAATATATATTTTATAATGAAAATAAATTAAAGAAAAAAAAAAAAAAAAAAGGAAATAATTCCAATTAATTAGCTCATCATTTATTAAAATATTTTTTTTTTGTTCATTTAATAATTTAGATTAATCAATGAGCAGGTGTTAAAATAATCGATTATAATTTGAATATCATCTGTCATTATGCTCATATTACAAAAAAGCGGTATCCCTTTTTATTTGATGAAATCATTTGTACTACTATAGCTAATCTCTCTCTCTCTCTCTCTCTCCCTCTCTCTTTCTCTTTTTTTGTTCATATTTTAATAATCATTAATTATTATCATTAATGTATCTATTTATCATTATCTATCTATCATTTATGCATTTATTAATTTATTTCAACATTTTCATTCATTCATTCATTCATTCATTCATTGAATATAAAGTGTAATTAAAAATTAAATTTCAATATAATTTAAAATTTTTTTTCAAACGTAATTAAAAGTTGAAAAAAAAAAGAAAAATAAGTGTAATTAAAAAAACTTTATAAATGTAATTAAAAAATAAGAAATTAAAAAAAAAGCTGTAATTTATAAGTGTGATTAAAAAAAAAAAAACTTTAGAAAATGTAATTAAACATTAAAAAAGAATAAAAATATGTGTAATTAAAGTTTTTCATAAATATAATTAAAAATTAAAAAAAAAAAAAAGAATAAAAATAATAGGTGTAATTTATAAGTGTAATTAAAAATTTCATAAATGTAATTAAAAAGTTAAAAAATAAAAATAAGTGTGTAATTAAGAATAAAATTTATAAATTATAATTAAAAGTTAGGGAATAAATTATAAGTGTGATTAAAAAACTTTATAAAATGTAATTAAACATTGAAAAGAATAAAAATAAGTGTGTAATTAAAAATGAATGCAATTTATAAATTAGAATTAAAAGTTAAAAAATAAATAAATAATTATTTTTATAAGAATTAAAATTTCAATAACTAACCATTATCATCATCATTATCATCATCTGATACTGCATAACCTTCAGCTGATGATGAATCACTAGTATGAATTATATACAATAATGGTGTTGATACTTCGGCTGAATTCCTGTAAATTTTTTATTTTAATTTTTTAATTTAATTTGAAAAAAAAAATCCTTGAATTTTTATTCAAATTAAAAAAACAAAAGATTTTATAACTTTTTACACAACAAAAATCAAAAAAATTTACATTTCATATTTCATATTTATATATTAATAATACTAAATTAAATTTTTATTCAAATTAAAAAAAAAAAAAAAAAACAAAAAAATAAAAGATTTTATAACTTTTTATAGAACAAAAATTACATCAAAAAAATTTATATTTCATATTTATATGTTAATAATACTAAATTTACTCTCATTTTAAATTATTTCCCTCTTCCATTTTTATAATTATTGTTGATTGAATTGATGAGTACAGACAATCAATCAGACAATAAAACCAAAATTAAATTAACTCTTAACTCAAGAGTACTAATTATAATTGACAAAAATTGTTGATGTGTAATATTCTTTGAATGAAATTTTCATTTTCAAAATCTGAGAGAAAGAATGAAAATAAAATAAACAAAATAAAATCTCAACATTTTTGTGCAATATTTTATAAATTCAAAAATTTCAATAAATAACAAATAGTTTTAAAAATATTTTTAGCTTCAAATTTATTTATCAATTTTTTTTTTCTACGCAATATCTCATAATTTCGAAAATTTCAATAGTTTTTTAAAATATTTTTAGATTTAGAATTTGTTTATTAATTTGTAAAATTAATTATTAATTCTACAAAAAGAAAACAAAAAAAAAAAAACTTACTGTAATCGATGCCTAAAATGAGCACTTGAAGGTTCAAAGTAATCATTGAGATTATTATCATCACGATCTGTAAAAATTTATTTTAATTCATATTAATATTAAATTTTTTGTGAATTATTTTAAATCATTTCATTTCTTAATCTTTGTTATTAATTTGAATTTAATTTATATTTTTTTAATTTTTCTTTTCTGTCATTAATTCAACATTTTTTTTCTCTCTCTCTCTCCCTCTCTCCCTGTTTCTCTCTCTCTCTCAGTGCAATGTAAATTGAAAAAGAAAAAATTTTCAAATTATAAAATTAAAATTTTACATTAATGAGGTTGTATTTATTTATAAAACACAAAATATATTGACTACTAGAATGATAAATTGTCAACGAAAAGACCTTGAAATTAGCATAATTTTCTAGATTTCTATCATACTTATGGTATTCATTAATTTTAAATTAATCCATATAAGAAGATTTCTCTCTCTCTCCCTCTCTCTCTCTCTCTCTGTCTCGTATTTGTTTATGATTGCAAAGGTTCTTAAAGATTAAAAATTAAAACTTTAAATTGTCTTTTTATCATTTTTTAAATAATAAATTTTAAATAACTACTTTTAAATAATAAATTTTAAATAACTACTTTTAAATAATCAATTTTAAATAATTTGAAATAGAATGAAATTGTTAATTTATTATTTATTTTTGAAACTAGTTTAGTTCATTATAAATTAGCAACTAGAATTAAGTTATTTAGTAAAACAAATTACACTGTAGTATGTCATTTATTTATTCATTGAAGTACTATTTATTTAATTAAATAAATAGTACAGAAAATTAAGAAAGAAATGGAAGGACAACAATAATAAATAATATAATTTATTATTGTTGCATTCTAATTGGGCTCATTATTTATAATTTTTAGTTAAAGCTTTTTGCATTTAATTGATTTTTAGCTAATATTCATTTTGTATTTTTAAATAAATAATAATAATACATTTATTGAAAGAATTTAAAATATTTGCAATTGTTTTTTTTTTCTTTTCTTTAAATCCAATTTAAATTTAAACATTTTTAGAATTGAATTTAAATTAAATGGAAATTTTAATATGAATTAAATTATAAACTTTTAAACATATATGCACATACATTATAATTTCAAATGATTTCTTAGTGCAAAATCGAATATAAATAATTTTTAAAATGTGAAATTTTTTAACAAACATATAAGAATATGTAAAATGAAATTTTTAAAATGGAATTTATTATTGATTAGCATCCTTATTGACTTATTTAATCAGTATTAGCTATGCTAAATAAATTTATTTTTGTTATTTTGCATAACTTTTCCCCAAATCTTTGAATTAAATTATTTCATTTTATTTCAAATGTATTTTGGAATGTTTCTATAATATTTCTTTCTCTCTTTCTCAAATTTGCTCAAAAATTTACGACAAAATGTTTCAATGAAACAACAACAACAACAACAACGCAATAACAATAAAACAACAACAACAACGCAATAACAGTAAAACAACAACAACAACAACAATGACATTAACAATAAGCTACTGTCATTAAATAGTACATAAATGAATAAATAATTGTCCTTGGTTTATAACAATGAATTGAATTAAACTTGAAATATGTATGTGTGTGTATGTTTGTGTATGTCTGTGTCTGTGTGTTTGTTTATTTACATATTTAAATTGTTATTGAATATATTCAAATATTATTCGTTGTTCCCTCTATTAACATTATAGTATGACAAATTAAAATTAATATCGTCGTACTATCTTATTTATTTCATTGCACTTTTCAAAGAGATTTTATAAGAGCAATTAAAATGGCTTAATTTGAAGATGCAATCAGATCATCAAATTTATTTGCTAGAATTTAAAGTATTTAATTAGATTATCACAAGTTTGTCGGGTAGTTAAAATAAAGGATGTAATTAGCTTATCACATATTTATAAGGTTGATAAAGTAAAGGATGTAATTGGATTATCACAAGTTTATCAGGTTGTTAAATTAAAAGGTGTAATTAGTTTATCACATATTTATCAGGTTGATAAAGTAAAGGATGTAATTGGATTATCACAAGTTTATCAGGTTGTTAAATTAAAAGGTGTAATTAGCTTATCACATATTTATAAGGTTGATAAAGTAAAGGATGTAATTGGATTATCACAAGTTTGTCGGGTTGTTAAAATAAAGGATGTAATTAGCTTATCACATATTTATCAGGTTGTTAAAATAAAGGATGTAATTGAATTATCACAAGTTTATCAGGTTGTTAAATTAAAAGGTGTAATTAGCTTATCACATATTTATCAGGTTGATAAAGTAAAGGATGTAATTGGATTATCACAAGTTTATCAGGTTGTTAAAATAATTAAACCCTTAATTTACGGGCAAATAGATGATAAAAGAGAACAAGTGTTCCTGTCAGTCAGTTACACCTGTTCATTTGAATATTATTTGATTGGCATTAACATATATACTTGGGGTACTTACTTATTACTGATACTACTGATACTCATCATACTCTGATATGACATTAATCCATCAATTGATAAGTAATTCATTTCATTTGTTTTTTTGCATTTCTATTACAATCTCATCTACAGGTAATTTAATATCCAAGATATTATCATTTTAATCCATTTCAAATAAAAGTAAAAGAAATTTCCAAATTGAATATTGTAATAATAATACATCAAAATTTCTCTTTCCATTAAAAACTTTTTTTTTTTAAAAAAAAAAAAGTATTACCTGACTGAATTTCAAATTTAATTTTCATATGTTCAGTAGCACATAGACCACCGGATCGCCTATCGATACCTTTTTTGGTACCATCTGAAGTAGCTGAAAAAAATAAAACAAATGTTTTTTTTTTCTTTATTAAATTTTAAAATTTCATAGCAGTTGAAAATTTTTGATTTACATTCAATTTTGATTTAAGAAATTCTTTTAAAAACAAAAAAATTTTAATTTAACATTCTTTATTTAATCACAATTTATTAATTTAAATTGTGCCTAACTATACGAATACTCAAAATTTTTATTCAAATTTTTCAATGAGTTAAAAAATAAACAAATTAATTGCTAAAAGAAAAAAAAAATATATTATATCTAATCCATTTATAACGATATTCTGTGATTAATAAGTGAAAATATTTTTAATATTTCTTTGAAAAGTATTAAATTAATTCTGAATTATTTTATAAAAATTTTTCAATAACTTTTTCTCTCGCTCTCTCTTTCTCTTTCCTTTTCTCTCTCTTTTTTATGAGCTAATTATTTAAAATGAAATAAAAGAATGAAAAAAAAAGAAATAAGAAATTTAACCATCTGTGATCTATCTTTTTTTTTTTCTGTGTATTATTTAAAAGGAATGAGAAAATGTAAAGAATGTAAGAAAGTGGACATCAGAGTAGTGGACATTGATGACCCAAGGTCAGTTATAGTGGAAAGAATGAAATATGTGAAATGATTGATTCCATTCCTTCTTTTTCTTTATTTTTTAATATCAAATAAATAAAAAAAAAAAAATTTATTAATAAATAAAAAAAAAATTTTTTTTTTTCATTTAATAAATTTTATTCTACTAAAACAAATGCAAAAATGAAAAAAATTTATCACAAAATAATTGTAAAAATGAAAAAAAATTAAAATTTTTTTTTTTAATTATTACAAAATTTTTTTAAAATTAATTTTAACAATTATATTAGACTAATTATTCTCATTTTTTTTTCTTTCATTTTTATGCTTAGCTTTTCTCCTTTTGTAGTCTCATTAAAGGATTATTTTCTTTGATTATTAATAGTACTAAATGAAAATAAAAGAAAAAAGAATTGTTGCGCAATTGGTAAAAAAACATCTGTTCTAAATCTTATCTTGGGCGCAAATGTACCGACAACCATAAAAATCAAACATTAATAAGTGCATGCTAATCATCTTTTGATGATAACAGATTTGTGCTTTATTTCAAATTAAATTTTGTGAAAAATTTTTTGACAAAAAAAAAGAAAAAAAAAATTTAATAAAAATTATTTAAGTTTATTCGAAAATTAGCCAATATAATACATTACAAATTTATGTTATATTATATTAAAGTTTGTTCTTTTATCAAATAATTTAAATGATTATAAATATGAATTAAATTTTTTTTTCTGATTATCATTTTAACATTCATTTTTATTTTTCTGAGTATTTTCAAATTTTCTAATTATCATTTTAATATTCATTTTTATCTTTTTGAGTATTTTCAAATTAAAATTACATTATTTTTTTATTTGGAAAAAAAAGTTAAAATTACATTTTACTTTTATTCAAGTTTTTTGCAAAGAAACAATCATTTAATTTTACTGATAAGATATCAAATACATGATAAAACGAAATTTTTGTCAGTAATTAAAATTAGAAAATTCATTTCAAATTTTACAACTTTATTTGGATTATATCAGCGAATGTAATTTTATAGCAAAAAATTATATTATAAAATTCAGATGTTCGAGTTAGATTACAAAAGTGGCAAAGTTAGACTACAAAAATGACAAAATGTAAATAATTTAAAGAATTTAATCGAAAATTTTGAAAAAGAAAAAAAAAACTTTTTTCTACCATAAAATGTTGCAATTCAAAAGGATTAAATTTCAATATTCTCACGAAAATTTTCACTTTTTTCTTTCAAATTTTTTTGAACAAAAAAAAAAAAAAAACTTTCATTATGGAAAAAAAAATTTTAGAGCAAAAATACTAATATTTATTACAGAATATAAAATCAAATAATAATACATTTGCGCTTTTTTTTTTGCGCAATATTAAAATTAGCAATTTTTTTTTAAAAAAAAAAGAAAAGAAGAAAATGAAATGCGAATAATCAATATTCTCGAATAATTGATATTCTCGAATGATCGATATTCTTTTCATTTCCCTCAATTGAACGATTGTTCAATTATATGACAATGGTATATTTCACTTCCTCTCAATTTTTATTTTGTGAAATAATTTTCATTAAAAGTTAAATGTGGCATAAATGTGACATTTTTTTTTTATTTTCATTCTTTCATGAATTTCATTAGAAATTTTATCAATGAGCAAAGTTAAATGTTAAATTTAGACAATAAAAGTGCAAATAGTATATTTCTTTGTTATTTTTTTATAAAGAAATTAAAAAGTTTGCAATAAAATTTTCAAATAATTCAAATAACATTTTTAACATTTATAATTGCTAATTTATTTTTTACTTTTCTATGCAATTATTTCAAATTATAATTAATTTATTCATAATTAAAATTTAAAAAAAATAAATTTTCATTTTCTTGAAAAAAAAAAAAAAAAAAGAGAAAGACTTACTGATAAAATAATAACTGTGGCCTGGTTTGAATTCTAATGCACCGGGAAGTGGTGAGAAATCTCGAAAAACAATACTGATTGAGGATTGTTGTCTTGGAGTTTGACAAACACCAATTAATCTTTCATTTAACAATTGACAATTTTCATAACCATTTTGTGATACCTTAAAAAAAAAAGATTTTTTTTTTTTTTTGTAGGATAAATAAAATAAAACTAAAATAATAATTTTTATGTTTAATTTAATTTTTCTTTTTTCTTTTTGTTGTTGTTTATTTATTAATTTATTTGTCAACATACAGTATAGCTGAGGTAGTACAGTGTGATATTTAACAATTTTTAAATTTAGATATAAAAAATTAAAATAATTTAAATCACTAAAAATAAAAGCTTTAAAATTGATTGCATTCATATATTTTTTATCATTTACTTCTTTACCTTTTGACCTTTCATTTTATTTCGATATTTGTAGAGAGAGAGAGAGAGAGAGAGAGGTAGTTTGTAATGACAAAGAGAGAGAAAATAAATTAAAAATTCATTTATTCTTCTTGATTTTTCTTTTTTCTTCTTTACCTGAAATAATATCATTCCTGATCCTGTTTTTTAATTTTAATTCATTCCATCTTTCTCTTTTTTTTTTCATACTTCAAATTAATAAATGTATAAAATAAAATGAAAGGTCAAAGGGAGACGGAATAAAATGATAAAAGTGCATAACCCAACCAATTTATTATCTTTTAGTCATTTAACAAACAATTTTACCGGTGGTTTATTGACCATATTGTAATAGTTTGTAAAGAGAGAAATGGAGAGAGAGAGAGAGAGGGGCAGAGAGAGAGAGAGGGAGAGAGAGAGAGAGGGAGAGAGAGAGAGGGAATGAATTAAATAGAAATGTATCGAGAAATAGTAATTAATCCCAAGGATCAACAAGCAATAATTTTGTCGATTTTATGAGCTCTTTGATCGGTTTATGACATTACTATAAACCAAAACTTTCACAATCACTTTCCTATCATTTCAAATTTTACATTTACACCGGAAGTTTCATTGAGATATGCTAAAAGATAATTTCTAAAGATTGAAAAAGAAAAAAAAAAAAACTAAACAAAATTTAAAATTTTTGGACAGAAACTAAATTAAGTATATACTTTTTAATTTTATGAATTTTTTCAAAGTTAAAAAAAAAGAAAATTAAAATGATATTCTTGCTATATTTTAGAACAAAAAAAAAAAGACAATTTCATTAATTATATAATAATATGATAGAATAAGTTAATTAATTCCATTATACATCCTTATTGCTTTGCCAAATATTTTCAGTACTCAAAGAGTAATGCGTTCAGAAATTATCAATGTAACACAATGATTACATTTTATATCAAAAATAATTGATTTTTTTAAAAACAAATCAAATTTTACTAAAATTTTGCAAATAATCATTGATTAGCTATCATATATTAAATATATTTCACTTTGTTAGATTCGAAGTTTTTGTTTTTTTTATCAAACTTTTAATTTTTTTAAAGAGAGAATATAAGAGAAATGAAATAATGAAAGGACAAAAAGAAAAAAAAAATCCAATCACTTCATTTTATTTGAATATATATATATATATATATGTATACATCTAAAATCAGTGAAAGTAAAAAGAAAAAAAGTTAATTTACTAAAGATAGTGTATTTTTGAAAAAAAGTTACTGAAAAAAGTTCAGTGTATTTTTTTTATTCCATAAAAAAAAAAAATTCTCACTCAACCATATCAGATTTTATTTTACAAATTGATATCTCATTTTTCGGTATTGCTTTTATCATTTATCGCTTATTCACTTCTATTTGCATAGTTACAAAGGATACAATTCTAAGTTTAAGTTTAAGTCTACTAAATAAGCTTAAATGCTATCAATCAAAATAGACAAACACATGTCGATTATTTATTTTACAGTAGTACCTAATGATACGGTTCAAACATATGCTTCAAACAACTTAGCTAAGGACAATTGCTATGTAGTTTGATAGATCTTTGATGAAGAAGGATTGAACTCTCGAATAATGGAATGGTGAGACGAATAATCTGACAATGTATTTATGATAATGGAATAGTGGGACGAATAATCTGACAATGTATTTATGATAATGGAATAGTGGGACGAATAATCTGACAATGTATTTATGATAATGGAATAGTGGGACGAATAATCTGACAATGTATTTATGATAATGGAATGGTGAGACGAATAATCTGACAATGTATTTATGATAATGGAATAGTGGGACGAATAATCTGACAATGTATTTATGATAATGGAATAGTGGGACGAATAATCTGACAATGTATTTATGATAATGGAATAGTGGGACGAATAATCTGACAATGTATTTATGATAACAGGATAGTGATGAGACGAATAATCTAGCGTTACTTTATGTTATCTATTTCATTTCAATTCATTTTAAACAATTGATAGCAGATAATATTGATGAATTTAATGAAATGATTTCAAATGTTGCACTCTTTTTTAGTTGAAGGAAATGATAGCAAGAGATCCGAGAAATTAGATTTTAAATGCTTATCAGAACATCTTATCAGATCAGCAATTGATAACAAGAGATTAGTTGGCTAATACTATCCAAGAAATTAGATTTTAAATGCTTATCAGAACATCTTATCAGATTAGCAATTGATAGCAAGAGATTAGTTGGCTAATACTATCCAAGAAATTAGATTTTAAGTGCTTATCAGAATATCTTATCAGATCAGCAATTGATAGCAAGAGATTAGTTGGCTAATACTATCCAAGAAATTAGATTTTAAATGCTTATCAGAACATCTTATCAGATTAGCAATTGATAGCAAAATGAGCAAAATCAATGAGTAATTTGGCTAATAGAGCACAAAAAACAATTATTTAAATCTAATTTCTATCAAATGCTATTTTATTTTAAATTATTTTCTTGTTGTTTTTGTTTTGCATACAATTTTAATTAATTAAGTGATAAATAGCAAAAAAAAAACTTGCATATTTGCTATTTCTAATCAATTTGAAATGCAAATAAATAATTCCATTAAAAAATTTAATGAGCAAATCGTTTAACAAAAAAGCAACACTTCAATTCATTTATTATTTCTTTGCAAATCTTTTTTGTTTTTTTTGATAATTTAAAATTATTTAAAATTGAAAATTCAATAAATTTTGGTGAAATAAATTTTGACATTAATTGTACAAATTGAAATGCCAAGATATATTATCAAATTAAATGTATAATTGTATTATCATTCGCTCAAAAATTTAGAAATCAAATTTGATTTAAATATATTTACTATTTCATTTCAAATTTGTGAATCAATTAAAAATTTTGATAAATTCTTTAAAAAAAAATAATAATAATAAAAAACAAATAAATGTTTATTAAAATAAATGCAAAAAAGAATTAAGTTTGAAAGAAAAATTTTTTTTTCTCTTAATAAAATAATTTGTTTTCTCAAATAGCTAAAATTAAATTTATTTCATTAATTTTCAAAATTGACAAATTAAAAATTATTTCATTAATTTTCAAAATTGACAAATTAAAAAAAAAAAAAAAAACTTACAGCATATAATTTTGTATATTCATATGATATTTGTGGATTGATAGTTGGCAAAGGACAAATAATTGTCACACGATCGAGTAACTTTACTGACATTACGTGATCCGTATTACTTATATCAAACCTGAAATTATAAATATTTCTTTTTTCTTTTTTATAATTTTTATTCAATTTTCAAAAATTTATTTATTCAATTATTTTAAAAAAATTTTAATTATTTGTTGAAATATTTTTTGTTAGTTAAAAATTTTGAACATTTTTTCATAGCAACTAACTAAAATCAATTCAAAATTTTTATTCCAAAAAAAAAAAAAAAAAAAGCTTTCAAAATTTTAGTGTAAATAACAAATGTTAGAATGAATTTTTAACATTTTCACAAAAATTTGAAAGAATTTTTTTCTGTTGAAAACATTTTTCTCTTTTTTTTTTCTTGTAACTGTCAAAAAAAAAAGAGAAAGAAAAATTTTTTCCTTTTTGTCCTAAAATTTATTTAAAATTCATTTTCATTTTCATTTTTTTTTTTCAATTAGTATAATATTAATTTTGTGAAAAATTAAACAAATAAATTTTTGAATGTAAATTTGTAAATGCTAAATTTGATAGAAATGTAAATGTTAGCAAAATTTATTACCCATCGTCAAATTTAACTTTAACCTTTTTCAAATTGTTTAATAGCTAATAGACTATGGTAACAGTTGTTCCACCTTTGAACAACAAAAGAACAAAAGTTTAATTCAATGTGTCTTCTTTACTTGTCATTAATATCTATCACACATCAATTTAATTTCAAATAATTTTTTTTTTTTTTTTGCTTTTACAAATGTAATTCATTTTTACTTATATATTATTTTACTAACTAATATATCAATCTAATTTAATTAGCTAAATATATCAAAATTTTACAAATATTTCAAAAAAAAAAAAAAAATGTTTCTACAAGAAAAAGAAAAAAGAAATGAAAATTTGCAACGAATATTAGAAAAATTAAAATTAAAAGCTTTTCTTTTCTAAAAAAAAAAAAAAGAAAATGAATAAAATAAATAAATCAAATGGGATAAGATAGATAAATAAAATATTAAAAAAAAAAAGTAAACTATCTGAATTATTTAAATTATATAAACATGCATCAGGAATATAAGAATAATTTGAACTTAATTTAAAAATATCTAACTTTGAAATTAAGTTATAAATTATCATATCTATTATTATTATTATTATTTTGTTTTTTTTTTTTAAAAAGCAAATCATAGATTTATCATTTTTAAAACAAATACAAGCATTTGCAAATTATTATAATACATAAATAATAGGAAAGAAATGAACTTTTAATAATTGTAATTATATCAATTAATGAGTATTTAAATAAATTATAAATTAAAACTTAAAAAATTTTTTTAGATTATAACAAATTGAAATTAAACACATTTTCCATTAATAATTCTTATAATTCAATAATTATTTATCGATGAGAATAATTTAAAAATTAATTTGCTTTCTTGCTGCTTCTTTTGTACACTTATTTTTTTTTTCTTTCAATGATTTAAAATTTAATTTCTTCCTTCCTCTAACATTTTAAACTATATTTAATTAAATGAAAAAAAATTTTATAAATTTTTTTAAATTTAACAAACAATTTAACCTCCCCCTCCCTTCACCCCTCACAAAATTTTTTGATATTTATTAATGTATGTATTATATGTGTGTGCAATGAACTGTTCACAACATTATGAACAGATTATAAAAGATGATAAATAATAACATTTGAAGGACAACAAAAAGAAAGAAAGCACCGATCATTGATTATATTTATATTAATACTCTTTTTAGAAATAAATAAAATAAATTCAAAAAAAAAGGAAAAATCAAATTTAAAATTTAAAATAAGTTCAAAAAAGAAGGAAAAAAAAAGAACGAAACCTAAAACTATCGATTAATTTATCAAATAAAAAAATATAATAAAAATTATAAATTACAATAATAAACATAAATTTGATTAAATTCGATTAAAAAAAAAAATAATAATATTTTTGATTAAATTATAATCAATTATATTTATCAATTTTTTTCATAATATTAATTTAATTTTATTACAAATAAAAAAAGAAAACAATAATGATTGATAATTATAAGATTCTTAAAATAGCTATTATTTAATGACTATTTTATTCATCTTAAAACGATGAAAGAGGGAGAGAGAGAGAGAGGGAGAGAGGGAGAGAGAGAGAAAGAGAGAGAGAGAGATGATATTATTAATATTGACTGATAGTTTGTAAATAGTGTTGACAGGAAAGATCGGTAACAAGAGGTCATCCAGGAGGTAGGTATGTATAATTGACCGTATAATAATTGTCAAAGGTATATTAACCAGGTAAATGCATCTGAAATTGTTCAAACGTATAAATGGCATAGTTAGTTATTAAATAAATAAATTAATCTAACTTATTTATTTATAAAAGTAATTATGTAAGATTAAGAAAAGAAGTATTAAATACCAAAAATAAATATTTGAAAATTAAAAAAAAAAAAATCTGAACAATTAAATTTTTAAAATTTTGACTATAAATTTTGTTTAATTTCCAGAGGAATTAAATTTTTAAAATTTTGATTATAAATTTTGTTTAATTTTTACAGTTATTAAACATAAATATTTGCTCGTTTTTTTTTTTTTTCTTCTTTTCCATTGAAATTTATATGAAATAATTTAGTTCTACAGTAAAATGAATGAACAGAACAGATTTAAAATTGAAACCGGAAATTAATGATTCGTAATCAACAGGAAGAAAAAAGAAAAAAGAAAAGAAAAGAAGAAATGATTGATAGCATATCCAAATGGTAATTAGCATATGCAAACAATGCTGCAAAGAGAAGAGGTACTTTTTAAATGAAAAGAATATTTAATATTCACATATTTTATATCATTTGCTATCATTGTTTATCATCAATCAATTTAATCACTAAATTTTAGCAAACTAATATCATTTATCATTTACTTTTTTAAATCATTGTTAACATTTTAATTATCATTTACTACAACTATTATCATCGCTGTTACTATCATTAATTTAAATTTCAAAAAAAAAAAAAAAAGATTATCGAATGTAAGTCATTCAATATCTTCAAAAAAAAAAAAAAAAAAATAGCATTTATACCTTTTTTTTTTTTCCTAAGGTATAAATGAATGTTAAAATTTAATTAATTTAATTAAATAATTTTTCTTTTTGTTTGTTTGTTAGATAAATTTTGATATTAATTATATTTCATTTTCATTCATTTCATTTCATTTCATTTTTTTTTTTGATGTTAATTAAATTAATTAAATGTTATTAATTATTAATTTTTCCCCCTTTTTTTTTCCTTTTCTTTTTTAAAAAAATAAATTCAAAAGTTTGCAATGAATGAAATGATTGACAGTAAATATATGATAACTTTGATAAAGCTATTCTGTGATCGCTGATAATGAATTCTTCGATGATAACCTTGATTGAGTAAGATGAAAAGAAAGATCACAGCATGATGTCTAAGCTAATAAATCATTCAACTACCGTATAAAAGGAATGATAGTGTCATCCTTTTGTCATATCACAAATGATATGTCAAAGTTCAATTTTACATCCAATGATTGTAAATATTTAAAAATTTTTACTTTTAATTTTCTATTAAATTTATCAAAATTTAATAACATTTCAAAAATTTATTTATTTATTTTTTTAAAAATATATTAACATTAGCATTGTACTACTACCTAAATTGTAAGTTATATTTTATAAAATATAATTAATGTAATACTAAAAATATATAAATATGTTTATATATTTTTAAAGAAAGAAATATAAATTAAACAGTAAATGATAAGAAAAAAAAAAAAAAGAAGAAAGATCCGGAATAGTAATAAAAATTTGTTTAAATTTTCGGAATATTTTATTTGATTATTTATTTCATGTTTATGTCTAGGAAAAAAGAAAAAAAGAGAAATAATCTTCGGACGGATGATTTTTATGTTCCACTATTGTCTGAAAAAATCCGGCATGTAATGCATTTCCGGAATCATTTAATTCTTCAATTCAATGAAAAAAAAAAAAAAAAACTAAAATGAAATTAAATGAAATGATCGAATGTAAAATCATTCAATATCTTAGATTTAGGATAAAATTATATGCTTTTGTGTAATATCGCTGTGTTAATTGAGTTAGTAATTAATTAATTAATTAATTAACTAATTATTCATTGTCAGTAATAACATTTGTTAATTATATCAATTATTGTTTACTCATTAATAAAAGTTTTATTTTATAAAATACATCCTCTACTTTTTTTTTTCCCTCATTAACTAAAATAATTATTATCAAATATTAATCAATAATATTTTTAATTAGCACGGGGAAATAAAAAAAAGAAATGATAAATAAATTTAAATTATTTTTTAACACAAAATTATTTCAAACATTAATTGTCTTAGAAAAAAAAAAGGATGGAAAGGATTTTTAGAAAGCATCATTAAACATGATGATTTTATAAAGTTAGAATGGAAGGAAGGGAAAATTTAATTTCCATACAATTGTTATTCCATCAAATCAATCCATCCAACCATCCATCCATCCATCCATCCAAGCATCGAGAAAAGCGCAAAATTTTCTTGTAAATAAATAAAGCTAGCTAAAGAGATAAATTAAGCTTACTATAAATAGCTTATAATATATATTTTATCGTGAAAATTATTCAGCAAAAAAAAAAAAAAAGAAGAATTTAAATTTATTTGCTTAAAATTATTGAAAAAAATTTTTCATTCATATTAAAAAAAAAAAAAAAACAAAACAAAACAAATAAATAAATATGTTATATATATATATATATTTTTTTATCAAATCAACTAATATTTCATAGTTTTATTAATCATTCTTTCATTTTTTTTTTCTCTCATAATATTAAAAATTTTTTTCTTTCTTTCGTTTTTTTTTTTTTTTCATTAACTTAAAATATTTTAAAAATATGCATAAAAACGCTTTTTTTTTTTTTGCTCTTTTTAACTTTTCAAAGAATTTTATTACTTTGGAAAAAAGAAAAAATTATTAATTATTAATTTTTTTTCAGTTTTTTTT